AAACACTGGAGCAATTACATCGCATTATGAGTGAGTGAGTTGTTCTCAAGTGTCCATTCAAAGTGTACTTTGTACATGCGTAACATCTTTGAGTTGAATTCACTAACGTCATCTGTAAATGTCAATGTATCAATGCCCTTAGTAGCATATTTTGAAATTCCAGAAATAATAATGTAATAATAATGTGTCCATTTTTATAGCGCCAAACTCCACACTAGGTATGCTCACAGCGCTAACAATCAAAGCACAGCACATCAATACCCCATATAACCCTAAATACTTAAATAGATATTTGAATACCTTTAATACTTTCAAACAATGTATATTTCATACAGTGAAGTTAAAAAATGAGAAGACAAGTGACAAACAAATGAATAATATATTTTTTAAGTCCACACAGGTTATTCCTCTATCCCAAAGGCCTTTCAGTATTTCTGTTAGTGAGTTAAGTAGGCATTCACGAAGTATTTTGAAGGGTGTACCAGAAATGCGTTTCATCCACTGTAACCATGATGGGAAAGAACACATGCTGTTAATGAATAGACTACTTGACCTCATTGGGTTACTAAAGGATAGGTGTATCATGAAAAGGAATTATTGAGGACACGAGGAAACAAGTATTGGTTCATCATTCTCAGATCAGGTTAAAGGTGATGGTGTGCTGCCAACTTTAGAGTAAGTGAGTGAGTATGGTTTTACTCTGCTTTTAGCAATATTCCAGCAATATCACTGCAGGGGACACCAGAAATGGGCTTCACACATTGTAACCATGTGGAGAATTGAACCCGGGTCTTCGGTGTGACGAGCAAACACTTTAACCACTAGACTACCCCAAAGCCCCTTTAGAGCTAGTGAGTCATGTTGTTTGACAACAGTCACCATCAGTGTGGATGACAACAGTTTGAAATAGCAGCAGCAGCAGCAACAGCAACTGTTTATTACAGTGTCGCACACACACCAGGTGACACTTCTACATGTAACATCTACATGACATACAGCACATGAAGTCATCAAGTGGCCTATAAGGCACTAAAATAAACATGTGTATAGAATACATTAAATAGCCATATATAACACCTTTATGTCAAACATGCTATGACGTGTTTGTGAATACATATTCACTGAGATGAGGGTCATGAAAGTCAAGTTATTAGAGGAAAGAGACGCTAGAAGCAGGTAGAAGAGACTGGACACAGAAAGGACTAACCAACAACTTATTATCTGTGTAATGACGTATCACCTGTGCATGTCTTCATTCTACAAGAACAATTATCTGCCTGATGTAGCCAGGAATATATGACAGGGATCCAACCAGATCCAGCCAGGGTATAATGTAATTATAGTCATGCAAGTCAGGAAGACATTGTGTTATTAAGATAATCATCAGCTGCCAGACTGACCAATCACAGGTAAAACAGGGCTTTGAATGACTGCCAGCTTGCTGGGGTTTGACTATCACTAAAGGACAAGTATAAAACTACAGCAGTTTCTGAGTGCCAACTAATAACAAATATTGAAAATTTAGCAAAACATATCAATACTAATACACAAATACCGTTTCTTGTACATACAGGGGTGGAAATAACTTTAAAATTGCTAGTGTACTCTGGTACAGTGGCACATGTAAAGTCACTTGCCCTGATTATTTTCCCACTATACCAACCGTTTTCTTGCTGATTTTTTAAAATAAACAACATAATAAACATTGGAAAGTCAACTGGACACCAGTACAGTGTGATATACAAATTTGCTTGTCCGACAGCAAAAAAAACTGGACTCGGACGTCGGGCAATGGGTTATTTCCACCCCTGACATAAAACAACACATCATAAGAAGAAGAATGAAGACCACATATTTGAGCTGGATCTTGTTGATGCTGCACATCATTTTACCTACAGTAGACGTAATGTTCAAAACTAAGCATAAAAGCCCAAGGACTCCTGTCCTGAGCCTAAAGTTTATATCGATCGATACATATTGAAAAGATACATCAAGAAACCTAAAGGAACATTGTCAGTTAAGACAGTTGTTGCTCATACAGAGAAACACATTCACAGGTAGACGGAACACAAAGATAAATAGAGTGAAATCAGCCCAAAGCTACAGCATCCCTCACGAAAGTGTAATGTACAATATGAGTGAAATGCACACAGACAGGAAGCTCGTACACTGACTATCTAATTGTGTCACTGTTGAACCTAATTATCTGCTTTGAAACTGATTACAAACGCCATGGCAACAGATTGGTGAGAAAGGTTTGGTTTACCTGCAGGAGTCATATCTGAGCGGACTTTGTGGGGAGGCATAGCGCTGGAATCTACACACCTATGTAGCACTGATACTGACGACTTGATGGACATACTTATCTCTGCTCACTGTGTAAACAGGGTGAGCGAATAACAATGTTATCACATTAACGCTCACTTTTATCCCAAACACGGAACAAATAAATAAAGGAAAACAAACAACTTCAATTGATTTTTCTATTGATATAGAACCTACTTGGACACTGCAGTCATATCGGTTATCAATATTTTTCTAAAACTTCCCCTTCCTTTGAATAATGGACTTTCCCACCAGCTGTTAAAACTAACATTCAGACCTTCCCATTGAAGTTCAAAGGGTGCCTGGAAGTATGTATGACTGCCTGACCTCATACTGTAAGGCTATCAGTTTATCAGTTCCAAACATTGACTTAAGAGTACTTCTCTTAAAGGTATCCTCAAACTCGTTAGACATGGGTAATTTCAAGACATTATATAAACCAAACATTGGCCACAGAAACGAATAACATGATTTACAAGCCTATCAGGAAATAATTATGGTGTAAACATTCCCTCTAGATTATGGTTGCCTTATTCCTGCGGTTTCCACAGACACATACAGAAAATGAAATGCAAATTTTAACACTAATTCATAGGTATCCCTAGTTTTAGTAGGAAAGTGTCGAGCATCATGACATTTAACAGCCAGCTCCTAAATCTATGATGCAGCCTTGGGAAAGTCCTATAATTCCCCGAGTTCAGGAGCAGCTCATGGACTGGTGGTTAAAGAGTTTGCTCAATGTGCCCAGCTTTGATTCCCCACATGGTAACAATGTGTGAAGCCTAGTCTTTGTGCCCTGTAAACTTTCCAGGTGATGCTAAATGTGGTGCAAAATTCAACTCTGTCCAGAAGCTGTAGGGGGCTAAGATGGGGAGTCCCAATGTTAGAAAATATGTCTACGTTTTTTAATTCATTGGTGCATGATTACAGTGATGATGATAATGATAAAATTAACTTTGTTTTTCAATTTATTCTGCAGACAAGTTAGTATAATCAATCCCAACTTGCCTGTTGTCAGAGGCTGACCCCCTTCTAACAGCCATATCATTCTCACTCTGGCTCAGATTTATGGAAGTAAAATTCTTATCTCTTTCATCCAACAAAATATTTTCCCTCAATTCAAATTAAAGAATACACACACAAAAAACAACACCTTTTCCACCCAAAACCAAAACCTTCCAGAAATACTAATGAGGTTACAACAAGCAAAGCATCAAAGAAATCTAAAATGACAACCTCTAAAATTTAACTTATAATTATCGTTAGATCTTGTAAAACACATGCAGACTTTTGACAGCTGTTTGAAACAAAGTGAACATTTCCAAACAAAATATTCTTCAAATGCAAAATGCAATAATTTATTTGTTTACTACAAAATGTCTGCTCCAGTGAAACCCTTTCCTGTGCAATATTCCCCACATAAATATACATTACATCTCCCTCCGACAACATCAGCTTTGTTTATTGCTAGGTGTAAACATGTGATTACTGCAAGCTCTTTGAAGTTGCAACCTAGACCTTGGTCAACACAAGATTAAGGTGAAATAAATGACAGTGTATTACCCAGCATCCCACACATATACCACATGTTTAAAGTCTGATGTCCAAATTACCAACACACTGGGCATTGTTTACTATGAAATCACATAGACTTTAGGCAGCACATGGTAAAGAAACTTATAATGCTCAACACTTTGTAGGGATAGTGAGCTATTTCTAGTTCTTACTGAATGATAATGAATTGTGTAATTTTGTTTACCGTAGCTAACTTAAAAGTTCAACATCATCAAGTTCCTTGACAACACTGAATACTGTTTGCATGACAACATATCTAAGTACTTAACACATTCAGACCTCAAATGGATGCTCAGATTATCCCTATCTAATAGATTTATCCTATCAAGAAGCAAAGATTTAAGTCAGGTTTTGTATATTAGAGTGAGCTGTAACTGTTTCAGTTGTTTACAGCTTTGAAGAAATCAAGAATATTTGCCAGCCTGATTATCAAATGTGGGATTTGAACCCATGATCAGTGGATAGATTCACCCCTCTGACCACTGGGCCACCAATGACCCAAGTTATACATTTAAGGAGTGGAACCTGTCATGTATAAATTCAAACATAAATACTATACCCCTTGCACTTCCATACAAGATGTATCAAAATCTAAGCATCTTCAAATTTGTGCTATGAATCATCAAATCTCACAAACAAGTCAGGAAATAGGCTCACACAAGCACCAGGAGTCATCACTGGTGGAGATTGGTTACATAAACAATCTTATCACCACAAGTCAAGTAACAAACACCCTAAATAAAAAATTGTTCTATAGGACACAGTATAATGATAATCCTAATCTTCATATTTACTGAAGATACTATTTTAGCCTTGACAACTAGTGTGTGCAATTAATTGAACTCAGATTTTTGTTGTTGGAGGTTGTTTAAAACACAGAAATAGTTTTTCCCCACCCTGTGGAGAAGGAACAGAGAGCAAAATAAACTATTACTTGCACGACTAATTATGGATAGTTGAAGGCAATGAGTTGTGCTGAAAAACTAACAATTTAAGTGTGTTCAGCAAAATGTCAAGTCTCATGAATATAAAAGTAGGCAGCCATAGATCTTGATATTTATGATATGTTTGATAAATAAACAAAACGAAATCTGACATACCTGAGAGAAAATGTTGAGAGTTTGGACCAAAATCTCGATAAGCTTCTTGTAACTGCTTTAATCGATCTTCTATCGCTATTTGTAAGGCCTTCCACCTGAAAATATACAGATAAAAATAACTTTCAAAAACATGTATACCATTTATCTCAAGCACAAAGTAAATATTAAACACAAAGCTGAGAAACAACAACTTTGAAGTACCAATATAGTTATTTGTCTAACAAAGCACATGTACGAAAACCAACTAAAGGGAGCTAACTCTTGAATACATCATGAAACAGTACCCACACACAGCATACTTGTTATCAACAAATTAGCTTTATGTTTAAGATTTGATTCAAACCATTTACCTTGTGTTGAAATCTTCAAGTTTACGAACATTGACGTGGGACAGGATGACGTCTGCTGCTTGAAGATCATTAGCTTCGTCATTGACGTGATCAACCTCCCCTTGAATGGGAGCAACCTTTTGTTGGAAGGCCTGAAACAAACATGGATGACTGAAAAACACATCCTAAAGTAGATCCTACACAAGGCTGACCATTTGTCATAATTATCATCCATTTCTTCCAGTTCCTTGCTCAAACCCATATTGGATGTAAATGTAACAGCCAAACATTCCGTCTGCTATGATGGGATTCAAACCATGAACGTTCTTATAGGTGGGACACCTTGTCAACATGGCCAAAGAGGCGAACCCCCTCAACAAGCAGGCAAAACAAGGGTGGAATGTTTGATGACTCCACACGATGCTATACTATACATAGAGGTTGGGTGTTGGGGGTTGCTTATATTATAGTCATACCTCCCTGTTGCCCCACATACATGGATAAACCAAGGGCTACATCTTAGTAACCCTTAACTTTGATATAGCATGAATGATGTTGCTGTACATATAATATTAACTCCTAATAGCTAAAGTACCATCATAACATTCTAATACTATTATAATACTATTAATTCTGTACTTTTCTTAATTGTTGAAAAAGTACAATAAAACTGTTATACCATCATATTAATTAATCTAACAGATACACATAACTGATAATGTTCTTCAAAGATGTTTGCAGAGGTTTCTTAAACTGCCTTGTTTATATTTCTAGACAAGCCGGCAACCATATCAATATTGACACACACAAACATCAAAGGCCATATTAACTCCTGCCATTACCGACTGTTGCAGCATTTGTCAATGGCTACATTGTTAACAAGTGCAACTGTTGGTCAGTATTCAGCTGCTGTTGGGAACAGCTTTGTGCAAACACTGCTATTGAATACAGCTGTTGTAGCCTCAGTCAATAATCCATATATTGACTAATACATTTGTGCCTGTAGCTGATCATGTTTATTCATTATACCCTGAACCTTTTCAATCTTTTGCAAATTAATTCAACTTTAAGTGAATTATTTTGTTATTCCACAATCACAGCCTCATATTATTCTGAAATATATAAAAAAGCTATAAATAAATCTGGACAGAAGCCCAAATTTAATAAAGGAATTTCTCAATTTCTATAAGAGTGCTGTTTTATTCAAATAAATCAAACCACACATTGAAAAAAATATAAGGGGGTGGGTTGTCCATGAGGTTTCCATTTTGATTTTTATCTAGGGATTAATTAAATCTTGAATTAAACAGTAAAGTTACAGCAAGAACCTCAAGTCTGTCATATTTCAAGCAATGACATCAGGTACAATATGATAAAAATAATTTTTTTATCCAGTAGTCATCTGAATATTACTAACATCTGGTAATGTGACTTAACGGAAAGTTCCACTCACTCACTCAAGGGAGTTACAGGGAGCTGATAACTAAGGGCATGTTGACAAGAAACTAATCTTCTGTTTCTGGGGATAAAATGGAACCACAGAGAAATCTCATCACGCCTTATCATGAAAATATTTATGACTGCAGTAACATGGTTAGACTGATAACATTTCTCACCTTCTTGACATTCAGTTACACAAATTTACCATTTGAGAGATAAGGGACACGGAAATTTATCAACAATATGGGCATCAAGACAGATTGCTCAAGCTGCTGACAAATTACATCACGTGATGCACAACATCCACTAAGGTTGTCATAGAATTTCACAATAAGGATGTAACAGTAAATTTGTAATATAGACACTGTATTCATACAAACTTATGAATTATATACTTAAATTATTCATTGCAACAAAAATTTATATATTTGTTAAGATAATATGATTAACATTGACAATGAAATGCAGACAATTCAACTAAAAACAATTAATGGATCAGCCTGATATAAGTTCATGCAACACATAGAGACTAATCTTTCTGTTATTAATTGATATACTGACATACAATGATACCTTTTGTCAAGAAAACAGTATTGACATTTCCAATCAATGACACCTGGTATCCATAGATACATCAGATATGCAATAAATTACATTATGAGTGCGTGAGTGAGTTTAGTTTTAGGCCACACTCAGCAATATCCCAGCTATACGGTGGCGGTCTGTAAATAATCGAGTCTGGGCCAGACAATCCAGTGATCAACAGTATGAGCATTGATCTGTGCAATTGGGAACCGATGACATATGTCAACCAAACGAGCAAGCCTGACCACCCGATCCCGTTAGTCGCCTCTTACGACAAGCATGGGTTACTGAAGGTTCATTCTAACCCGGACCTTCACGGGAACATTATGACAGAGTAGTACATCAGTGTTTGAAAATATAATACTATCAGGCCACATGAGCAACAAGTCCAAGTGTCTTGTACTGAATTATTAGATCAAGCACCAAACTGTTGTCGCAGTTTGCTAGCCAGTTGAACACATGGAGTCTTTTACAGAGACAAAGCTCCAAACACTGTCACATGGACTGACTGAGTGAGTGAGTTTAGTTTTACGCCGCTTTTAGCAATATTCCAGCAATATCATGGCGGAAGACATGAGAAATGGGCTTCACACATTGTACCCATGCAGGGAATCGAACCCGGGTCTTCAGCTTGACGAGCGAACGCTTTAACCACTAGGCTACCCCACCGCCCCTACACATGGACTGAGGTAACCCTGTATTGAGTGTACAGTATTCAGTCCCACATGCTGGAACTTCAGCGTACGTATTGACAGATCAAGCACACTTTTCAGTATGTTATTAGTTTGGGTTTGACAGTTTCCAACCAATCAGTAGTTCTTTACTCAGGACTTCACTCATAAATAACTGGACTTCCCATATCAAAGCGAGTCAGTCAGGTGTTATGATGCTTTTAGCAATATTCCGGCAATATTACAGCGGGGAAACACCAGAAATTGTCTTCAGACATTGTACCCATGTGGGGAATTAAACCTTCAGCATGATGGCGAACACTTTAACCACTATTCTGCCCCACCACTCCAAATCATTGTGTATTGTATTGTACAATGTTCGACAGATGTGAATGCATGCCAGACAAACATTTGTCAAAATCTTGTCAGCTTGTCATAATATTTTTTATAACTTTGGGGAGATAAGTATTTTTAGCATTATACAGCGTGAGTTTCTTGAACACAACTTTCGAAAAACATTCAGCAATATCATGTCAGATGTGGGACAGCAGCCCGAATTGAGACAGATCTTGACATTGACCACTTTTGTTTGTTGTTTACCTCTGTTCCCTGCTATATGATGGCGGACCAGACAATCCTGTGATTAACATTGTTGTACCTAATGCCATGACCCTGACCAACCAATCCTGTTAGTTCCCAGTTTGTCAAAACTAATGACGACAGTTTTGGTGTTGACAAATCCATGATCAAGATCTAGGTGATTCAAACATGCAACACGAATATCCCTTTACTGTAAACACACATGGGTTACATTATTCATGAACAGTTTGGTGAGTCAGGAAATCATAAAACATTCTTCTAGGATGTTGAGTTGTAGAAGAAATTAGCATGTCACTTTCTTACCTTCGTTGCATCAATCTCGTCCTGGAGGTTTTCAATGATGATATCGCCGACTGACACCCACTTGGCTTTCTCTTGCTCAGCCTGCAGTAGGTGGCCGTTGAGATCCTCCATTGCTTCATGGAACATCGCCATTTTCTGAAGAATAGAAATCATTAACATGTTTTTTCCATTTCTATAAACAACATACCAGACAGGCTGTGTTGAAACTGAAAGTCACGTGAGGAGCATTTCAGTTCATAGTGACAATGTATGATATTATATTCATAATAAATATATTATAATCTATCAACAGTGAAGAGGAGAACAACATGCAATATATCATATTTACATTTTGTAAACAGGTTTGAGCACATTTACAAGAGGAAACTATTACACAACCACACAGTATAAAAACGGGCTCCAAACCTGCCAGGCAGAAAGGGAAAGATATTTGGCAAAAGTTAACAGACAGATCTGAACAACAGCTTCTTGAAGAGATGCATTACATAATCACATCATCGAGAATAAACAAGTCGACACTGAGGCTACTTGCTTCATTCATCCAACATCATTTTTTCAGTCAGGGCAAACATCAGACACGTTACACTTAAACTCATCTGTGTTTGGTGCGAAGTGAGAGACAAAATGGTGGCATCTTTCAGGATGTAGATGCTTTTCTTTTGGCGAAGAAGTGTACAGCTTTTTTGTCTGGCAATAGTCCAGGATTTCGTTCAACAAATAATGTCTGTAGTGTTATGTCTGTTGAAGTTTAATGGTTATGAAAGTCGTACTGTTACAAACACTTTGTGAAATGGAAGCCTGGAACCCTGTCTGCTGTACAACTCAAAACTTGCAGCTTGGAGGTGAGGTGAGGTGAAATTGGGTTTATTGTCGTGCTTGAGAATATTTCGCTCATATGATGACGTGCATGCGTGTGTATGTGTATGTGCGGCTGCTTGTACTAGCCAGACTGAAGCTGGTTTTATAGTGCTAGCCCACTGAGATACCATGCCGCAGTGAAGCATGAATACCCCACTCAGACACATTATACTGACTCCGAGCCGACCAGTCCTTGTTGTACCCATTAATGCCGAGCGCCAGGCAGGGATCAACAAGTACCATATTTTAACGTCTTTTGGTATGATGCAGTCGGGGATCGAACCCGCGACCTTCCGCTCTCCGGGCGGACGCTCTAACCACTACACCACGGAGGCTGTTCATGCAGCTTGGAGCGACCAAGAGTGGATAAATGGTTCTTGTGTCCAGTCTGTGTAAATTAGCATGAGTTTCTGCCGTACATGTCTAGAGTGCTACATAAATATGTTATATTCTCAATGTGGTCATAATTATGAATATTTTGTTTAGTGATGCCTAACAACACTGGCAATTATGCATATATGTGACAATTGAAGTCAATACTTTGATATTATAAAAAAAGTACTAACCATTAAGATGATTTGCTGTATTCTTTTGACAAAATGGATTTTTTCTTTCGCATCACTCAAACTCCCTAACATTTGGTAACTATAAAAACAAACTCATGCAGTTTGACGTAACTGTCTTACATCAAATAGGTAGATCAACATACTGGTACTTCTTAATGCTTTCAACAGTCCTTTCACTGTGGTAGTGACATCAGTATATCGGTAGCATGGTTTTCGCCAACACTGATATATTTCTTTCCAATATATTGGTGAAACTTGGAGTCAAATATGGTAATGATTCTGACATGCTTATTTAAAAAGGATATTTTCAGTTCAGGTCACTCAGGCAGTCACACAGCTCAAGAGATGTCAAAAGCTTTCCTTCCTCTCATTGCATCCATAACATCACAGACACAAAGAGTTGTCCCCCTTTATAGTATGTCACCAATCTAAGAGTACAGTACTTTTGTACTTCATTGCATCAATATTACATGGAATGGAATAGCTATGGGTCAGCCTCAGTGGGATTCAGCAATCCCCACTATTGTTAGTGACATTAATGCATGTGAGAATCTGTGCTCGCACTCACTTCAATAACTTCATCGATCTTCGATTGCCACTCGTTGCTTCTCTGGTTAATCTCTATCCACTTTCTGTTGAGCAGTCGAACTTGTCGCCGGATCTTCTTGATAAGGTGACGAGCGTCCATGTCAGCTGACACGTCTGTCATAGAACCCTCGTCTGAAAAAATACACACTGACATGTTAACAAAACCTGGTGGAGTATATCGCAATCTAAGATATCATGTTTAAAAAACCATGTCATTGGAAGAGTTAATGTTTTGTGTACCAATAAAATCATGTATATACAGAACTGAAAATGTTTTTATAAAAAAAGTGACACACTGTGACTAATTACATCTCAAATATCACGACAAATGACAAATTGTTGATTCAGAATAAACCTCACATTATTTCAATTTCAATCTAATTAATATCAAATCAACATATTTCTTAAGACGAGAGGCATTAATGTAGACTTAACCTGTTTTTCGCATTTCATTAACCATACCATTTGAAATCTTTGAACAAAATATGGTTTATTTCATAATAATCCAAGTATTCAAACAGTGTTTATCAAACTTACTCTATTGATTATACTCACATTGTTCACAATCTATTCCCTATCAATAGATCTACAGTAGATAATGAGGATGCCTTAAGGAGTCGCCCTCACTCACCTGTTTCATTACTGTCCCCGCTGTCTGTACTGAGTCTCTTGTCGTCACCCTCTTCACGAAGGTAAAAACGACCTGCCTCCAGACTCTGCTCCACTAGGGGGCGCTTCAGGTTCAGCTGATCATGGAGCCTCTGTGAATACAGGTGAATATAGACAGACCATTACTTGTTAGAGTCATAGTCAAGGACACGCCTTGTACATTAAGGGAGATAATTCTCAAAGTAATATCTCTTGAATTGACATTTTCAACCAAGTCAGTGAGTCTGGCGACCAGATCTCCAAAGAAGCAGCTTCTTTTGAAAAGCACTGATCTTTACAGATGGTTTAACCTTTCTCAATGAACATTCTGAAAGATTTAGCAACTAGTTTTAGTTGCTTTTAGCAATAATCTGACCAGATCAGGCAAATTTAACAAAGTATAAGTAAATATTTACTGCTGGTTCTATTTGTGGTGTAAGGAGTGACTGAGTGAGTTTAGTTTTACGCTGCACTCAGCAATATTCCAGCTATATGGCTGCTGTCTATAAATAATCGGATCTGGACCAAACAATCCAGGGATCAACAGCATGAACATCGACCTACGCAACTGGGATACAATGACATGTGTCAACCCAGTCAGCGAGCCTCACTACCCATATCTCGTTAGTCGCCTCTTACGACAAGCATGGGTTACTGTAGATCAGTTCTAACCCGGATCTTCACGGGTCTAACACAATAAGGAAGAAATGAACAAGAGTTTTTATATGAAAGAACTGTGGATAGTCTGCCCGTGTTGTAGCTCACCTGGTTCTCGGAGTGCTGGCGCTGCACGCTGATGAGGTCTCCGCCGATTGGCTGCTGTTGCTGGAGCTCCTCTTGTCGCTGCAGGATCCAGTTGATGAGATTCTGCAGCGTCCGCAACAGGTGCATCCACTGCTCTGCATTGCTCTCCAGCCGACCCCTGCACAATAACAATGTCAGTTTTACAACACACAGATTTACATATATACAATCAACCTTGAATATATGAAACACCTGACCTGCAAGCTATATAGAGTATACTACACACCTGACCTGACCTATATAGAGTAAGTTCTACATGCTACTATAAGATATGGAGTATACTACACACCTGACCTGCATGCTATATAGACTATACTATATAGAGTATATGACCTGCAAGCTAGATCACACCTGACCTGCATACTATATAGAGTATACTACACACCTGACCTGCACACTACATAGAGTATACTACACACCTGACCTGCACACTATAAAGAGTATACGACAGATCTGACCTGCACACTATATAGAGTATACTACACACCTGACCTGCATGCTATATAGAGTATACTGGACACCTGACCTGCAAGCTATATAGAGTATACTACACACCTGACCTGTAAGCTATATAGAGTATACTGGACACCTGACCTGCAAGCTATATAGAGTATACTACACACCTGACCTGTACACTATATAGAGTATACTTGACACCTGACCTGCAAGCTATATAGAGTATACTACACACCTGACCTGTACACTATATAGAGTATACTTGACACCTGACCTGCACACTATATAGAGTATACTACACACCTGACCTGTACACTATATAGAGTATACTATACACCTGACCTGCACGCTATATAGAGTATACTAAACACCTGCACACTATATAGAGTATACTACACACCTGTCCTGTACACTATATAGAGTATACTACACACCTGTCCTGTACACTATATAGAGTATACTACACACCTGACCTGCATGCTATATAGAGTATACTAAACACCTGACCTGCAAGCTATATAGAGTATACTACACACCTGACCTGCAAGCTATATAGAGTATACTACACACCTGTCCTGTACACTATATAGAGTATACTACACACCTGTCCTGCATGCTATATAGAGTATACTACACACCTGACCTGCACTATATAGAGTATACTACACACCTGTCCTGTACAGTATATAGAGTATACTACACACCTGACCTGCATGCTATATAGAACATACTACACACCTGTCCTGTATACAGTATACTACACACTATATAGAGTATACTACACACCTGACCTGTACACTTAATTATATAGAGTATACTACACACCTGTCCTGTACACTATATAGAGTATACTACACACCTGACCTGTCCACTATATAGAGTATACTACACACCTGACCTGCACACTATATAGAGTATACTACACACCTGACCTGCATGCTATATAGAGTATACTACACACCTGACCTGTACACTATATAGAGTATACTACACACCTGTCCTGTACACTATATAGAGTATACTACACACCTGACCTGCATGCTATATAGAACATACTACACACCTGTCCTGTATACTATATAGAGTATACTACACACCTGTCCTGTACACTATATAGAGTATACTACACACCTGACCTGCATGCTATATAGACTATACTACACACCTGTCCTGTCCACTATATAGAGTATACTACACACCTGACCTGCACACTATATAGAGTATACTACACACCTGACCTGTCCACTACATAGAGTATACTACACACCTGACCTGTACACTATATAGAGTATACTACACACCTGACCTGTACACTTAATTATATAGAGTATACTACACACCTGTCCTGTACACTATATAGAGTATACTACACACCTGACCTGCATGCTATATAGACTATACTACACACCTGTCCTGTCCACTATATAGAGTATACTACACACCTGACCTGCACACTATATAGAGTATACTACACACCTGACCTGTCCACTATATAGAGTATACTACACACCTGACCTGTCCACTATATAGAGTATACTACACACCTGACCTGCACACTATATAGAGTATACTACACACCTGACCTGTCCACTATATAGAGTATACTACACACCTGACCTGTACACTATATAGAGTATACTACATACCTGACCTGCATGCTATATAGAGTATACTACACACCTGACCTGTACACTATATAGAGTATACTACACACCTGACCTGCACACTATATAGAGTATACTACACACCTGACCTGAATACTATGTATGTGTATACTACACACCTGATCTCCATGCTCTTGGTCATCAGGCTGAGCCACCTCTGATTCATCTCCTCAAGGCGACGGTGCAGTTTCTGGGCATCTGACGTTCCCATTCCGCGTGCCAGTTGGTTGCCTGCACTGTTCAGAGACTCATACGCCCCCTGGTGGCCATCGACTTCGGCTTGCAAGTCCTGAAACACAAATCAGAATTGTTAGCATGTATCAGTAAACTATACATTTCATTGTATTGTATATGCAGAACTCTCTCCCTTGCCTGTGCCGCCATCGTAAGTACACAGGACTGAAGTTGTACAACTAGATAGGACGACACTACTTATTTTCCTAAGCATTCATAGATGAACATGGTAGTTGTTTGAAGTATATTAATTTAATTGCGCATGACAACCACAATTAAATTTACATTCCAAACATTCTTTGAAGACTGGCTTCATTCAATCATAATTTCTTTCTAAGTCATATAAAGATAAAATATTGGCATTATCTGTCATTGTACGCTGCTTATGGGATATTCCAATTAGAGCTCACAGTAGCACTACATGTCAGTATATCAGCTAAGGGATTTCAGCATGGCGTTTTGTAGATTCTAGCTTTGTTTGATAGCAACCGACAGGAAAATAAGACATGATCTTTGAACATTACTACAGTTGTCAGTATCATCAACAAACAGAAAACTAATGGTAGTACATCTCACTGTTACAAGGAGAACGCTACCACTAACTACTCTAACATCAGCAAACAGACCTGTATATTCAGTATGCAATAATGACAGATATTGCACGGTTCCATAGTTTTATTGCATGGCTCTTATCTCAATATATCTCACTCATGTATATGTCAACTGAAATATACAACACAAAAACAAAAGCCACGTTCTGAACGTAGGAAAAACCAACAACTGTCAAATTTAACCCCATTACACCGTTCTCCACACTTATCATGTTGGCATGGAAGATTACCATGAAATGCATCAGGCAGCGAACAAAACGACTCTGGTAAAACAGCAGGTATCTAGAAAAAAACAGGCAAGTGATGGAGCACTGTAGACATCAGGCCCACGGCAATACAATCCTCCATGTGTTATTCCTTGTAATGAACAGCTTTCTGCAAGATGATCCTCGCAGAGAAAGAATGACCCGCAAATCAGGAAGAATTTCGTCACCGATTATCTTGGATGTTTTTTGGAGAATGTCTGTTACATCAATGGTTCGTGCACCTCTTACAGCTCGAGCCTAACACTAGTGCAGCTGGGTTGTGAACAGTGTGTATCATGGTCAGTTGCACAGATGAACTGCCTGGGGGAATATCTGATCTGGTTTCATTTCAATACCATGGATACCCAATATCATAAAATACAATGTTTCCAGTAATTTGAAGCTGCAGCCAGAATATAAAAAGATATCATGGAAGTCATTGAGTGTAGATGGAGTTGAGTGAGTGAGTGAGTGAGTGAGTGAGTGAGTGAGTGAGTGAGTGAGTGAGTGAGTGAGTGAGTGAGTGAGTGAGTGAGTGAGTGAGTGAGTGAGTGAGTGAGTGAGCTGGTGGGTGGGTTTGCAGATTTTGATTAAGTAAGTGGGTATGGGGTAAGTGAGTGGTTGGGTTGGTTTTGAATGAGTAGATGAGTGAGTGATCTTCTATAATGTCAGTGATTTAGTTCTTCTAATGCAATGATCATGGATATCCCAATTTAACACATGATGCCAATGAATGATGCCATCAGTTGGGCACCACTCAGAGGACATGGTATGAGTACTGCAGACATCAGCATGGAATGCTTCAGCCACACAAGACGTCATCATCATTCCATGTAAATGTACAAATCAGATGTCAAACAAACAGCCTACAACATCAAACATCACATTTATATTGTTGCTATGGAAACAACCTTTCAAAATTGTCGAAGAACTTTTCTTCACAAAATAAATTCAATCTCAGAACACTGAACATCCCTGCAGTAATTTCCCAAACATATGACAGAATATTCCGAGGATTTTTCAAGCCATCTTTCCTATCTCAGTTTGGATCAGACTTATAGCAATTAAAATTCCCTGCAGATGAAATCTAAGCTCAGAAAGCCTAGCAACGGCTATAGGTAGCACCATAATGAGACAACGATTTTTCATTTCCTCAGAGCACTCAGCGCACATCTCTCTCACCTCGTTTGTGAGATGTGCAGCCCAAGACTGCCGAGTCAGCATATTGATCATCTCACCACTCTATTGTCAGGGCCTGTCTGGCCGATTGAGACTATTCTCTACCAATTATAGCTATAGCTTAGCCCCAAATGCTTGACGTATTCACTCTTAATAAGAGGTTATCATTAGACAGTTTCACACGGACTCCCTTGACAACTCAAAAACAGACAAGTACCTTTTACCATTCCATGGAGAAATCAGCATACCATAAATGTTCTTCAGTTTGCATACAAAATGGTTTGGGAATTTTAAAATTATAAAAAACACCTAAACCAGATCTTCTGATTGGCTTATCTAAAGGCAAAATACATGTTTTTCATCCAGCTTATAAATTTATAGCAAATTCTCATTTTCACAACCAAATATCATGTGACTATATTGGAAAATAGCATCATAAATATATATTTTAACCATATTTGGAATTAACTTCAGATTCTAAAGGATTAGATGATAAAACTGTTTTTATAAAAGGAAACTGAAAACACAGGTTTTGACACCACGCAAACAACACTTCATCTATGCAAAAAGCTCCAAAAATGTCAGTAAATTCACCAAACTACTGCCTCAAACATATTGGATTTTCCACACAGCTAAACCACTTATTCCCAAAATCAATAAACACAAACATCTTTTTGTCTTTAAGCAAACAAAAACTTCATCATGAACTTCACAATTGAATTTCAAGGTCGTCTCCGAGAAACGCCGTGAGAATCCAGCCAATTTTCAAAATAAAACTTCAATCCCAGAAAGGCCAGAAAACCTTTTGCCCGGTTAACATAATTCAATTCACAAAGAACTCTTGAAAAGAATTTTTCTGACTTATTGAACTTGGAAGATCTTGTAGGAAATTGAGATCCGTTAAAAAATTGTTCGCACATTTTATTTCCAAGACAATCTATCCAGAAGGATCAAATTTGCCACTTCTGACTGCCATCGGCTGAGGAGGTATTAAACTTTAATGCTGAAAATAAGATCTCAACTGGAGTGATTTTCCTGTAATGGCTTTGTAGTGACATTGAAAATTATTCTAACAAACTCTGCAAATATCAACAACTTTGAATGAGTGATAAGGAAGTCAATGGCAAGAGTGATATGGCATGATATAGTGTAAACACACACACATATTTGAATATACATATTTACACAACCACACAGTCAACAGGTACCGAGCCTCAGATATACAGGGGGCCGGTGGGGTAGCCTCGTTAAAGCTCGTCCACGCCAAAGACCCGGTTCGATTCCCCACATGGGTACAATGTGTTAAGCCCATTTCTGGTGTCCCCCGCCGTGATATTGCTGGAATATTGCTAAAAGCGGTGTAAAACCAAACTCACTCACTCACTCAGATATACAGGTACATAAGGACACACTCATACAGGTACACAGGTATACAATCCCACAGGTGCACAGGTATACAACCCCACTGGTATACCAGAACACAGGTTAATGGCCACACAGGTATACAACCAAACGGTGCACACGTACACGAGAACACAGGTTGACAGCCACATAAGTGAAACAGGTACACAGCCTAACCCCCCACTAGAATTGTCCTACTGCTTACAAAACAGGTGTGGGGAAATGTCAACATGGGGATATGTCATGTGGGGAATTGTCCCAGTGGGGACTTGTCCTGATGGGGATTGTCCTACACTCCGGTATACCACCACAAAGGTGCACAGGTATACCAGAACACAGGTTAACGGCAACACAAGTATACAGGTACATAAGCATGAAGGTATACAAGAACACAGTAACACAGGTACACAATCTCACAGGTACACAATCCACAGGTACACAGATAAACAGTCACACAATCATACAGGTACGCATACAACAAGTATCTTACATGTGTGTGAATCCATGCCACTGGTGACCAAGTATTACAACCACCACATCCACAGTTTTAACCTAATATCACACTTAATCCACACACAGTATCTCATTAACATATGTCCACATTCTGAAATCCCTATGTAGTAAGTTAAGATATGCTCTTTAGGATACCGATTATATAACCAAGTTCGCTGGGACAGAGTGAGGTTAAGGACCTTCTTCATGGGAACAACAGGGGCATCTGTAAAGATCTATAGGTCCTTCCAGGTCGATGGCCTCAATCTCCACGATACCAAGTGTCCAGACAAAACATTTGAAGGTTAGATGCCTGTAATTAATTTAAAACTTTGTACGTTCAAACAAAATCCATGGCAGCATTCCCACTAGTCCTGAAGTAATCAAGGACCCACACAGTGACTGCCATCTGTGTTGATCCCCGACCAGAGACTATAATTATGAAACCCAATCAGTTGACATTGCCGCCAAATTGGTTTCAGTGACCACTGATGATCCGTTTAATCTTACAGTGTCTTCACAACAGTTCAATATCAATCCCGTCTACTTGGAGACAGTTGTGGTATGACCTACCTCTTGTGTCAAGCGGTTGTAGAGGTTAGTCAACTCGCCAGACAAAAGGGTCAAGGTCAAAGGACACACCAAAGGGCAACTGATCAACTATTGAATAATGCATCACAGGACTTATGCAGTCTTTATTGACCACACTGGGCAGGATTATTCTATAGCCAACCAACAGTTCCTTAAAGATGAAAAAATAACCTATTCATTATTTCATAGGAGAGTTTCACTGTAAAACTATGCCATCTTCTATAGAAACAATTTCTCTTCCCTGAATAGAATATACCATGCCTCTGTAGTGTGATGACACATATATATTCTAGATCAGTCAAGTTATCCTCATAATTTCACATGTCCAGAGCTCAAAACAACACAGAAAAAAAATACATATAAGGTATTGGCAGGGTCTTCAATTCCTATTGTAAGTGCAACTTTCCCTCACTTAAATCATTTGTGTGATAAATCACTGCAACAGTCACATAATTACAAATTCAATTCACATAAAGTTTACAGCCTCTTAAGCCACATTTAATAAAATTCTACTCACATCACATTCAAAACATTTT